AAAAAAAAAAAAACAAATGCTCTCTCTTCCCTTCCCATAGAGACACACACCCCTTCTGAATCACCCATTTCAGAGATAAGCAAAAGTCAACAGTCTTCTCCTTTGCCTTGATGGAACTGCCTGTCTTTAAAAGTGAATCAGCAAAATAAGCAGAATCCACACTTAGAGAAGTTCCACGTCTCAGTATCTGCTCTAGAGAACATGCACCAGGGGGGCCTGTGGCAGCCAAATGTTAGAAAAGATGTAAATATCCATCGATCAGGAAAATGCTTAAGCTAGGATGCATCCCAAATCATGAGATGTTCTGTAGCTGCTAAAATGTACGAGGAAGATCTAAATACGTGCTAACTTAGAAAAGTGCCCAAGAGGCATTGCTGAGTAAACAGAATCAAGTTGAGGTATGTGATAGTGTGTAGAATATGATACGTTTACATAAAACAAAACTCACAAGACGATTCCCATGTATTTTCCATAGATGCGAATGTGTGGATATAAAAGCATAGAGAAGGAGCTGGAAGAATATTGTGCACCATTTGAAGTTTATTCTGACAAAAGTGATTAACCCTTATTGTAGGGAATTGTTGGTGAAAAGTTTGAGATTGTGGCCAGGTACGGTGGCTCACGCCTGTAATCCCAGCACTTGGGAGGCCAAGGCGGGTGGATTCCCTGAGCTCGGAAGTTCAAGACTGTCCTGAGCAAGAGCAAGACTCCTGTCTCTAAAAAATAACTGGGCATTGTAGTGGGCACCTGTAGTCCCAGCTACGTGGGAGGCTGAGGCAAGAGGATCCCTTGAACACAAAAGTTTGAGGTTGCTGTGAGCTAAGACGCCACGGCACTCTATCACAGGTCACATAGTGAGACTCTGTCTCAAAAAAGAAAAAAAATTGAAATTGAGGATAGAGATCAATAGAGATATTAGCCTCATCTGTAGTTTGGCTTTTGGTCAAGGAAGCTGGGTGTCACTATCATAATTTAAATCCAATGCAATGGATAAATTGGAACAGAAATAGAAGCTGCCTGCTGGCAGCAGGGTGTGCACCCCTCCTGGCCCTCGTGAGCACCTCGCAGGCATCCACTGCGCAAAATCTGCTGAGCACCTTCCCTGGTGCCAGGCAGTGAATTAAGAATCTAATGGTAACCAAGAAATCACATCCCTGCCCTCTCTTAAACTTATACCTAGGAGGGAAGCAGACATTGAACAAGTACTTACAAGGGTGGTGGAGATAGGGGGAAGAGCAGAGTGTGGTAATATCGGGCAGCAGGGGAGCCTAGGCTGGGGGACAAGAGGGGAAACTGAGGATCTGACACTTAGGCTGTGACCAGAGAGCTGAGTTGCGAGGTTGACCAGGTACGGTGTTTGGGAAGAGGCAGGAGGGCAGCAAAGTAGCCCAGGAGAGGAAACAGCATGTGATGGGGGAAAAGAATGGGGTTCGGGGCTCAGGGCTTGGGGGCTCCAAAGGAAGGCAGCTGAGTATAGCAGGTGAGGCCGGAGTGGTGGACCAAGGCAGGGCAGCCGTGTTCGCCTACTGGATTCATGTCCCAGGACAGCCAGGAGGCCATTGAGGTTTTTAAGTGACACAGTCAGATTTGCATTTTACTAAGATCTCACTGGCTGCTATGAGGATCATGCATTGGAGGGGGGAAACAAATAGGGGGGGACCAGAGGCTGATGCAGAAACCTGGGCAGGAGATGGGGGACTCAGCTGGCAGGGGAGGAGAAGCAAGTGGATCTGAGAGATTCAGTGCCAGGTCCTTCCTGAGACACTGGAAGAGAATTGTCCCTTCCTGAGCATCTTGAGACCAGTTCACACTGTGTCATTAAACCCTTGTGGCAACCGAGAGAAGCAGCAAGGGCAGCATCTTTACCCCATTTGGAGGCTGAGGAGCAGAGGCTCGGAGGCTTTAAGTTGGATAAGGGGGACGGCATCCTGGGGAGTGCTGCTTGCTCGGGTCTCCCTGGGGCCCCAAAGCTCCACCCCTGCCCCCAAAGCCACATACTCACTGGTGTGCAGCCAGCTGGTGAAGGTCAATGAGCAGTTCTGCACATCGAAAGGGAAGTTGTAGATGTCCAGGCTACACGCGGTCACCACCTGGAGGGGCTTGTAGTTCTGGACCTCACCGTGATGCCGAACATACACATACGGGATATTTGGAGACTTGCCCACGTCCACGCTGGCCAGGGAAGAGGGGTCAGTTTGGGGGCACAAGAGGCAGGTGCCCTGGGAATCTGAAGATCTCGGAGCAACCCAGTGAGGAAAAAAACTCAGGGCAGGTACAGGTAGCAGGACGTCCTGGGCAGTTCTATCTGGCTACGGTTTTCCTAACCTTCCCATCTTAGGCTTCCTGACCTGCCATTGTCAAGCTATTTGCCAAGCAGGAAAGAGCATTTCTCCTTTTTTCTCCTGGCTATCTGGCCACAAATGTCAGGGGGGAAAGACCCATGGACCCAAAAGCAATAGGTGATGGGGAGCTGCCCCTACCAGGCAACACTTGCGTCCCAGGACCGTCAGCCCTGTGGTGACAGGCAGGCTTCTTGGGGAGAACAGAACCTAACATTCCATCCTGAATGGCTTGTTTCTGCATCCCCCTCCTAGACCTTCTTTGAAATAAGAATCTCACCAAGATTTCATCCTACTGTCTTAGCTGACCTTGTACCTGTAGGTCCTCCAGAGTAACCACTGCGGCTCAGAGTAGGGGGAGCCTGGAGCCCTAAGTGGGACCAGGTTGAGACATAGAATCAAGACAAAGGCGACTTCACTGTTGAAACTGTGAAATCTGGCCGGAAACTGAGATTTCCCAGAATCCCTCCAGCCTTAACAGAGGGCACGGAGTGAGGTCAAGGTCAACCTCCTCTCTTGGGAAGATGTCAGTGGCATCCTGGGGCTGGGCAATGCAGTGGGTGCTGAGTGGAGGGCTCTGGCCTTTTCCAGCCATCTCCCCCAGCCATCTTCCCTGCTCTGGAATTCAGAAGTGCAGCTTGTGCACCCTGAATGAACCTGTAGGATGGGGAGAAAGTATGTTGGCTGGGGCCAAATAGAACTGCCTTTGACTCCTGGGAATAAAGGCTTCTGGGACCTACTTTGTATTGGAGGAGTGAGTTTGGGGCCATCAGGCACATGTGTAACTTGGGAGGTTTGAATGTGTCCTCCAGCCTTGAATCTCCCCTGGGACCAGCAGCGGTGGCTCCATTCCCTTACAAAACATTACTGTCCTCTCTAATGCAGCTGTCCCATTAGGCTATTATAACTCAGTGTGAATTCATTCACTGGCTCCTTTCCCCATGACAGGAGCCTTTGGACCAAGTACAGAATTTCAACATCAGGCACAGAAAAAAAGGAATTTTTTTTTTTTTTTTT